CACACACACACACACAGCCTCTTCCCAATATGCATTTCTGCAATTTACATGTATGCAAAAACGCATAAAAAACGACCGGACTTCCTGCAAAAAACCAGTAATCATTTATCTGAAAGTCGGTGCGGCTCTAGAATGCAACACCTTCATCCCAACCAATGCCTTTTCTCTTGTATTCCGAAAGAGGCCACAGCGCGGCCAATATGAGCGTAAGTGTTAGGCTACAGTGCAGGAATCATTCCTGCTACTAGCAGTCTGTGAGTTTAGTACAAAAACGCATGATCTCACCGGCTAGCCTGGTGCGTTCCAGTCTGGGTTTTAAATTTGCGAAATTGGACTAGATTTAGACATAGCTTAGAGCGAAAAAGGAACGCGTTCGGGAAGGTGTCCGGGAACGAAGGCAGTCTGAGGTTGTTTTCACAAAATCTGAGCTTCTTAGCTCCGGAGTTTCGGATGAAATGATGCGGCCAGACAATCCCTTGCATAGACATAGCGCACCGTAAATCCTCTTGATTTGTAGAAATTAGTGATTAAACTACAGAGACCCAGAGATAGACTAATGCAAAATTTATCAAGAGATCGCAAAATTCTACCGCCTAGCACAAACGAGATTTACTTTCGCTCTGCAGCAGCTGGATGTTTCACTGTTTCTAAAAACTATGGCCACATAAGCATAATTTATTCAAAGCAAATTTCAAAATTTTTTTCTTTTTGTGAAAAATGGATAGCATGATCAAAAGCGTTAAATTTGAGTCACAAAGAGTAGAGGTGGGAAAAAGGAAACACTATGGTAATGAAGAGTATTTTTGTTACAGGATGCCGAGCTGCTTACCATGCACTTGCGAGGAGAAGCAAAATCTGAGAATCTGGAATGGAAGTACATAGTTCAAATGCGATTCCGGGTGGGGACAGCACAGTCCGAAACGGATCGCGTGGCAGACGGTGACCTGTTTGAGCTGGGTAAACGATGTCCACCCATTGCCATTCGGATCGCCGATTCTAACATTCAGCGAATCCGCATAGAAATGAAATTCGTAGAAACCGTAAGCTATACGTTTTTAAAAACCTGCTGACGAAGTCGCTCAAACAAAAATAACGTGTGCTAATGAACATATTGCCAGGATCGCCTGGACTAAGAAGCCTATGAAATAACTGAAATACGACAAAACGCCTCACCTGTCTACTCTAGCAGCCGCTCTTTCAACGGACTCCTTCACTTTGTAATTTCAACTTCCAGCAATTACGCACACAAAGTCATCGAATGGTCGTTTTTATGCGTTTTTTGCAGCTATGCAATGCAGAAAACGTATACTGAAGAGAGGTTGTGTGTGTGTGTGTGTGTGTGTTCGTGTGTGACCTGCGCGTCCGTAGCGATTTCTCATCTCGAGACCTACAAAAGCTACAGGACTGAAAATTGGGGAGCTTAATCTACATGCAGGTATGGGCCCCAATCCCCAAAATGGGTGTCCTTACCCGCGTAGTGCCCACGTAAGAGCCCATCAAAGTTTTTTATGGGCAGGCTGCTAACTCGGGAACCAGAACTGTACGGGGGCTAAAATTTTAAAGGAATGTTCCTCGTCCAAGTAGGTACTAATGTGCTCAACCCAGCCCCCGGATAAGCGTGGTACTCGCGCACGGGCCCGCTAAAATTTTTTTCGGGTAAGTTGATAGCTTGGGAATCTGAGAAGCTAAAAAGCTAAAATCTTAAGGGGATGTTCCCCATCCAAGTAGGTATTTATGAGTTCAAACCCAACCCCCGAGTAAGCGTGGCACCCATGTACGGATCCGCAAATTTTTTTTCGAGTAAGTTGCTAACTCAGAAGCCAGGAAAGCTTGAAAGCTGAAATTTTAAAGTAGTGTTTCCAGACAGACGGCCAGTTTTAATTTGTTT